AGTTCCTTAGTCTTACTTTGTTTCTCATGACTTTGGCTTTTTTGTTTTTGTTTTTGTTTTTGTTTTTTGAGATTGAGTTTTGCTCTGTCTCCCAGGCTGGAGTACAGTGGCAAGATCTTTGCTCACTGCAAACTCCACCTCCTGGGTTCAAGCGGTTGTTCTGCCTCAGCCTCCCAAGTAGCTGGGATTACAGGCCCACACCACCATACCTGGCTAATTTTGGTATTTTTTTTTAGTACAGTTGGGTTTTCTCCATGTTGGCCAGGCTGGTCTCAAACTCCTGACCTCAAATGAACCACCCATCTCGGCCTCCAAAAGTGCTGGAATTAAAGGTGGGAGCCATGGTACCCGGCCAACTTTGACATTTTTAAAGAGCCTGAACAGGTAGGTTGTAAAATACATCTCAATTTTTCTTTGGCTGAGGCTTGCTCATGATGAAACTTGGGTTATGTATGTGTGGGAGCAATGCCATAAAAGTGAAGTGTCCTTGTCATCTAAGAAGAACATCCATGGACCCCTGACTCTTATCTCTTGTACGTGACCAGATTTTTCTGTTGGTATTTTCTGTGGTTCCAAGGGATGTTTAAAAACATGAATTGTCCCATTCATTGCATTAGATTTCCACTGAACCTCTTTTGATGTGCCTGTTTGTATATTCAAGCTCTGAAAATTTCTCATTTATTTGTTTTTTGATATGTCCTACTTTCCTTAATCTGTCCTCCTTTAATCTTATTTACACCAGCATTTATTGGCCTTTTGTTTACATGGTATCATGAGTTATTTTCTTTTTATGAGTAAATTACTCTTGAAGATGATTTACTAAAACACTGGTTCTTACGGTCTTTTCTCAAAGTTTAAAAGGTGAAACTCACAATTTTTTTTTTAAATTTCTGATCTCCACACATTCAAAACTAAAATACAGGCAGGCATAATTTTGGCTTCTACTTCTTCTACTTTTAATAATTAACACAATTATTTTGAACTATTCTGGCCTCTGAACACTTCAAAGCAGTGACCCATAATGTACGGCATTCTTCATCTCGTCTGACTCGCAGCTGGCCAGGCGGGCATGCTGGTTGTACGGCTTGGCTCTCTGTCCACGATCCCGAAGGGATGGAAGCCAACCGTTTGGTCATTCTGATACCAGACACTGTATGCAAAGCTGACTGTGTTTTCTCTGGTGAATTGGGAAGAGGGACTACACTTGAAATTGACGAGATGAGTTTCAGTTACCAGCTGTTCCACTTGGGTCCTTTCCCTTCCTGTAAGGCTCCCGGACACTGGCATGAGGTCATGTTTCCTTTGTCTTCAGTAACACTTTTCATAATCAAGTTCTAGGCCACTAGATAAAGGCTACTCGTACGATTTCTATTTCCTTATTAAAGTAGGTTATACCCAGAAAACATACATTGGAGCCTGCCTTCCTGATTCTCCTGCAGTGGTTTACTTACTCTTGATTTCCCTATTCGATATGGAGTTGCTTCAAAAACACATGTTCAACTGAAATTCTAGAATCCCTTTTAAAAATCAGGGTTGGGTGCAGTGGCTCATGCTTACAATCCCAGCACTTTGGGAGACCGAGGTGGGCAGATCACGAGGTCAGGAGTTCGAGACCAGCCTGGCCAACATAGTGAAACCCAGTCTCTACTGAAAAAAAAAAAAAATTAGCCATTAGCCAGGTGTGATGGTGGGTGCCTGTAATCCCAGCTACCTGGGAGGCTGAGGTGGGAGAATCACTTGAACCTGCGAGGTGGAGGTTGCAGTGAGCTGAGATCGCACCACTCCACTCCAGCCTGGGCAACAGAGTGAGACTCCATCTCAAAACAAACAAACAAACAAAAAATCAGCGGTCCATCAAATACATACGACTTGCTAAGCAAATTAAGGATGTTTGTCCTTACATACAAACCTTAGTTCTTATAACTGGAGCCAACAACAGATTCATACAGCCAACTCTAGACAGTCGAGAGACTGTTTACCCAGGTTACACACCATCTCTACATCATCTCTTCCTCCCACAAGCTGCCATCTAATTTTAGTTATGTCAGTATTAGTGCCTTCATAATGATGAAGGAAAGGTATTAAATTTCTTTCTTCTGGAGGCCCTGTTTTTAATAAATCAATCACAAATAAGATTTATTAAAAACAAATGGCTGAAATGATTTTTAGATTATTCATATTTCATAGTAACTGCCTATCAAAACATTAATGACTACACATGAAGTTGTTCTATGTTTATTTTGTCCAGTAAATTTTCTTCTGGATAAACATATGGAAAGAAAATGGCTTTCTTAGTTAAAATGATATTTGACATAATTTCAAAGCTATGACAATTTCGTTATATTTGAAACACTTTCTGCTGATGCAGCATTTCTTTAAAGCATAGTTTATTCCATGACTTGAAGAAAGAAAACCTCCTGAGAATGAAGCACTAGGTACCCAAATGTCCTGAGAAAGTCTCCCTCCTTTTTTATACCTCGGAAGCCAAATATGTTATTTACTCTTGAACGTGTTCCTACATCTTGCTCCATAGGTCATTTAATGACATCACCATTCATTCAATGTCCAAACTGCACTCATTGGATACACGAGGCTCTAGGGCAGTTTGAAGATTCCCTTAAGACCGAAACAAACAAGTAAACACCTCTGACTGTGTTTGGTCGTTTAGTCTATGGTGGATCTGTAGAATGCATTTTTTTAAAACTGAAGTTTGGATGTTTTATTTATTTTAGAAATGTAAGAGTTTTCTGTGTCTGTGAACATGTAGTGTTGTATGATAGAGGAAGATATAGGCTCTGAAGTAAGATAGATCTATAAGTGACTTTACTTCTTTCACAGATGTTGGAGGAACTCTGGAAAAAAATAGCTTTTTGGGATAAAAGTTGCTTAAAATTTCAGATCTCTCTTCCCATATATAAGTGGAAATATTTATATATATTTAAATGTCTGTCATTAAGATACTTTATTTATTTATTTATTTATTTATTTATTGAAACAGGATCTCACTCTGGTACCCAGGCCAGAGCGAAGTGGCACAACATTGGCTCACTGCAACCTCTGCCTCCCAGGTTTGAGCGATTCTCCTGCCTTGGCCTCCCTAGTAACTGGGACTATGGGTGCACCCTACCACGCCCAGCTAATTATTGTATTTTTAGTAGACATGGGGTTTTACCATGTTGACCAGGCTAATCTCAAACTCCTGATCTCAGATGATCTGCCCACCTCGACCTCCCAAAGTGCTGGGATTACAGGCGTGAGCCACTATACCCAGCCGTGAAGATACTTATTAACAATATATAAAATTACAGAATCTGGCATTTAGAGGTGTTCAATTATTTATATAAACATGTAAATAGAAAAGAATATAAATCTCCATTCTTGATGACATAAATGATCATATAAAATGTTATCTATCCCAGAAGGTTCAGAAAAAATTAAGACTAGATTTGAAATAAAATTATCTAATAAAGAAATATGAATGGGTTGTAAAATCATGTCAACTACTCACCCTTTGAATAAGCAGGCTTATGAGAAGCTAGGGAAGAATTCTTATGCTTCTCAAATAATTAATTTTCTGCAGGAATCAAGGTGCTCAGTACTTCCTCTTGTCTCCTTTAGTCTATGCAGATACACTTGGTAAATAGTCCCATTTCCCCTTCATGTCTTCCTTTCTTCCCTTCATTGTAATAATGACCTGTAAGTACAAGAAGAATTACTGTCAGGTAAAAGCCTTTTTAATAGATCCTGCAATGAAAATTATAATTACTTTAAAGCAGTAAAATTGTAATTCTAGTAGGTAATACTCATGCATGTTCTTCCCAAACATTCCTTTAAGTCTTCCGTGATATTTTCTGAAGCTCCGAAAGAATTTCCCCTTTTAAAGAACTGACATATAAAATATATGCACTCTCCCACTAGAGATAAGAGCTACTTTACTCCCGTATTTTATTATTGTAGGGATAGATAAGTGGATAGATGATGTCAAGCACTCAAATGATCAGACCTATAAAGGGCTAGACATAGAAAGACATAATTTCCCTGACCTCTCCAATGTGCAGTCTATTCTCACTCTAGAGGATGAAATGCAATGACCCAACTCTCAGAATGAAGGGACACAATGTATTTCAGTGGAGTGGACGTATAGCTATGGCCTTACAGTTGGCACTTACTCTATGCCCTGGTGATACTGAATTTGGATATGATACACAACAATATTCAGCTTTTGGAGGGCTGGGGAAGGGTCCATTGCAAAACTGTGTGGAGTTGACCCTTGGAAAAAAAGCAGAATTTACATTTCTGTTTTAAATGTTATAAGGTACAGTACTGTTCTAATTGCTCTACATAAATAATTTAATTTAATTTACTCAAATGCTTAGTGTTTTATGTATTATTATTCGTCTCACTTTATAGTTGTGGAATCTGTCTAGGTAACTCATCTGAAGGCAATGCTTAGCACTGCTTACCAGCTCAGCATCATAGTTTTATTTACACTTTGTCTCTGTAGACCTTGCTTTATTCCGGGCTTGAGAAGGAGTTCTCCAAGGATTTGGAAGTAACTCCTTTTCCATTGAAGTTTTTAAAAGAACACTTACCTTTTGAGTAAGCCAGAAGTTTTTTTTTGAAAATATGTGGAATATCATGTTTTTTATTTTATAATGCCTACTTGAGCTGCATACCCAAGGCTACCTGTCAATAATCAGTCACTTTCCACAGGTTATTTTTACTACAATCTATGACAAAGATGATCACACTGAGCTATTTAGTCTCTTAAACCTCTGCTTTGTACTTGATTACCTAAAACACTCTTTATTTCACTTTGGCCCAATAAATACTTACTGAGTGCCTGTTATGTGCCAGGCACAGATGCCAAGATATAACCTGTGATTTAACAGAGTAACATAATATCATGCATTGCTTTAGGAGTGTGTACACTGGGCAAAGGGAGAAAAGAGGCACTTGGCTCACCCTAGAGCAAGAGGAGAAGCTCTCCAGATTTGCTGACCCAGAAGGACAAGTCTTGAAGTAGGAGGGTGGGGAGAACCAGATGAACAAGGGAGGTAAAAACGTGATCTAGGCAGGCATCCGAGGGAGCAATGGCACGAGTGAGCCTGGTACACTTTTGGGCAGGCAGAAGGAAGGCAGTTAGGCCATTAGGAAAGCAGTATGGGCAGTGAATTCTACAAAGAAGGCTATGGGAAAGACGCCTGGAAAGGTAGCGAGGTAAGGATATGGACAAGCTATGCCAAAGAGCTGGACTTTGTCATGGAGAGTGACTAGGTGCTTTTACATAGGAAAGTCACCTGATAATATTAAAAGCTGTGAAATATCACTCTGGTGAAAGTGTGAATGAATTTGAAAGGGGTGTAACATTGTTCTACTTTGGTTTACTCCTCAGTACCCTTGGCTGTGTACATTTGACTAAAGAGAGGACTATAAAATCAAAAACCAATGAAATAGTTTCCAGAACACAAAACTATTAAGCTTAAGAAAAGGACAGAAGGAACTGAAAAGAGAGGAAATGTGTTTTGGAGCATCACATTTCCACCTCAGAAGAAATAAGGAAGGAAGGAGGAGGGTGTTCCCACAGCTCTTCAACCAGGCCAGCTCCTCAGCCTACATCCCCATCTCATCAAGTACGAGGGATTTTTTCAACTGGACCAACCAGATGGTTTAACAGTGCACTCCCACACCATTCAACTACGCAAGGGAGATTCACTTAACATATGCAGTCATATAACACCTACTAACATTTTCAAACATTAAACCTTTAAAAAAGAGTCCTAAGAAATAGAAGCATGAAGAATCATCTCTCAAGTAGATAGACACTACTTCATGGTGTGGTAATATACGCATATAGAAGCTAGTAAACACCTCTAGGAGACGCAAAAGGAATTAGAACCTCCACAAGGTGCAAGCAAAACCTTGAAGTAAGCCTGCTCTTTACTCAGTACTTTTTTCCTCTTCGACATTGTAGGTGTGTTATCTCTATCATCTGTATTTGTCTATTGCAGTCTCCATTGATGGTGAAAGTGTTTTCATTCTTTGGCATTTCTCATCTAGTGCTAGAACAGTGCGTTGCATGGAGTAGCAGGTTTATAAACATTTGTGAGTAAAAACATCCAACCTAAAACCCAAGGTAAACTCCTGAACCAAATACCCAGAGTAACGTGAATCTTTTTCTATACTCTAGAGTTTGTGGCTAGAAACTGCACTGAATGCACTGTATCCTAAACTGGGGTCAGGACGGTGGAAAAATGAGTCTAGTGATGAAAGGAAGAAGCTGTGCAAGCTATGAAAAAACCTGGTATGGGAAACTTTTTATGTGATGGCTGTATACTTTTTTCTTATTTTTTAAGAGCAGGTAGCTACCTTCTCATATATAATTAATATACAAACCTCCATTTTTTGATGTATGCCATAGAACTGTAATTTTAATTATTTATTTTCAATTTATTTTCTGTTCTACTAATGAAGATTACAATGAAGAGGAAGGTGAAATAAATTTTTTTTAAAAAAAGGAAAAATAGAAAATTCAGACCTAAATCTGTTTTTCTTCTTCTGATCCATTTACCCAGCTTCATCTTCATATTACCTGTATTCCTGTGCTATAGGGCAGTATTTAATTGTTTCTCAAAGTCATCCAATTCAGGAAGCTTTCTAGACACTCAGTACTTCCCCTCAAACATACCCTTTCTGCACGCACGCGCACACACACACACACACACAGACACACAGATCTTCCTTCTCTAAACGCCCCATGATACTGGATCTATCCTTTGATCACTCTTGTTTACGACGTGATATTGTTGTTGAGTATATCCTGTGTATCAAGCTCTCTGTTATGTATTTTAAGGATTTAAAATGACTTTGTTGTTTGTACATACTTTGTGTAACATCCTTTTCTATGAGAGCATAAAGACAAAACTTGCATCTGATTTTTTAGAACATGATATACATACACTTTTCAGAGAGCATTCCTCTAATTAAATATTTGATGAGTGCAGAAGAATGAGTGAGAGTATGAATGTCTTTAAAATATCGTTTGGTTATTACATTAAACCAGATAGTCTCTTGGTAAACTTTAAGTTACATTATGTGGAAAGAATTACAAATTCTCCACTGGCACACATGTTGCAGCATTTACTATCTTCTTTCATCTGATCACATGTCAAAAGGAGATTTTTGAGCCATCATTCAGGTAATTGTTCATGAAGCCCAGACCAAAATATTGTCATAAATGTAGTTAAAATTATCATTTTGTTAACTGCTATATTAAGAAAAAATGGATACAAAATAAATTTTGCATGTTTAAAATGTACCACTTAATAGGTTTTGGCATATGGTCACCCCTTAAAACTGATACTGGCTGCCCCTTCCCAAAGCAACCACTGACCTACTTTCTGGCCTTATCTATTACCTTACATTTCCTAGAACTTTGTGTAAAAGGAACTACACAGTGTACCTTTTGTTGTTGTTGTTTGACTTATTTCATTCAGAATGATTTTTTTTTTGAGATTCATTCACATAGTTGAGTGTATCAATACTTCCTTCATTTTTGCTGCTTGGTAGTATTTCATCACATGGGTGTGCTACAGTTTTTATATTCAATCATCTGTTAATGAACATTTGGGTTGTTTCCTAATTTGCACTGTTACAAATAAAACTCGTATGAACTTGTATGCACAAATATTTGCATGGACATATGCTTTCATTTCTTGTGGGGAAACACCTAGAATGGGAATCAATAAATCCTATGGTAAGTATGTATGCATAACAAAATGTTAAGCAACCATCAAACTATTTTCTAAAGTAACTCCATGGCTTTATCTTCTCACCGGTAGTGTGAAAATTCCAGTTCTCTCAGGATTCTTGACCAAATTTAGTGTGGACAGTGTCTTGAAATTGATTCAAATAGGTGTATAGTGCTGTCATATTGTGCACTTCATTTGGACTTTTTCTAAAAACTAAGTACCTTGAACATCTTTTAATGTGCCTATTGCTATCCACATGTCTTCTTTGATGAAGTGTCTATTCAAATCAGTTACCCATCTTTTAATAGCGTTGTTTGTTATTTTAAGTTTTGAGAATATTTTTAAAAATATTTTGAATGCAAGTTCTTTATTAGATGTTACACATATAGCTTGACAAATAGTTTTTCCCAGTCTGTGGCTTGTCTTGTCATTCATGGTACCTTTGGAAGGGCAGTTCAATTTTGATGACTTAGATGAATTACAACACATCAATTTATTCTATTATTGATCTGAGCCTAATCTAAAGTCACAAATAATTTGTTTCCTTTTTCTAGAATTTTTGTAATTTCGACTTAACTCTTAAATCTTATTTGAGTTAATATTTTATATAAGGCATGGTATGAATTAGAGATGCATTATTTACATATGGATATCCAATTAGTTGAGCACCATTTATTTAAAGGCTATCCTTTTTCCATTTAATCTTCTGCAAAACTTTGTCAAAATAGATCTACTTCTGGAATATCTATTTATTCTCTTGGTCTCATATTTGCCATCATATGATAAGTCTTGAAATCTAATAATGTTAGGTCCACAACTTTGTCCTTTTTATTGAACATATTCTATTTTAGATGCTTTGCATTTCTGTATTTATTTTGGAAACAGTTCACTAATTTCCAAAAAAGACAGCCTAGAGTTTTAATGAGTACATATAGTAGTATTTCTTCCTTTCCAATCTTGGTGATTTTTTTTCTTTTTCTTTCCTGATTTCATTGACTAAAAATTCCAGTAAACTGTTAAATAAAACTGGTGAGAGTTGAATCTGTTTTGCTCCTCACCTTAGTGAAAAAAGTTTCAATCTTTCGCTATTAAGTTTGATGTTAGCTCTAGGCATTTCTCATGCCATTTTTCAGATTGAGATGTGCCTATCTTAACTTTTCTAAGAACACTTACCAGAAAATTCAGTTTATAAATGTGTGTAATTTCAGATTAATTTTCAAACATAAAACCAAACCTTAATTCTTAGAATAAATATCTCCTACTTTTTATATGTCACTATTTTTGTATATTGTTGAATTTGATTTGTTATAATTTTGTTAGAACTTCTGCATTTTTGCTCATGATGAATATTAGTCTACGCTTTATTTTCTATGAATATAATTGTCTGGTTATGATATCAGAGTAAATCCAGGCCACAAAATGTGTTGGGAAGTGGTTCCCCCTTTTAAATTTTCTGGGAAAACTTGGGTAGAGTTGGCATTTTTCCGTAAATATTTGATATAATTCATCAGCGAAACCATCTGGGTCTGGAATTTTGGTAGGGGCAGGTTTTTAACGACAATGTAGAGTACTTCAAGTAATCTAACTCTTCTTGAGTGACTATTGTATTTTCTCAATAAATGTGTTCATTTTTTGAAGTTGTCATATTTCCTGGCATACAGTTGTTTACAGCGTTCTTTTTTATTACCTAATATCTATGGATCTTTAGTAATGCCATTTCCATTCTTTGGAAATTTGGTGCTTTTTTCACATAATTCTGGCTAGAGATTTATTAATTATTGATTGACTCAAAGATTTATCTTTACTTTTTTGAATTTCTCTATTGTTTGTATTTTTATGTTGTTGGTTACTATCGGATTTTTACTGTTTTATTTATTCTATATATTTTGTGATTAATTTGGTGATTCTTTTCTAGTTTCTTAAGTTGGAAGGTGAAGTGAATAATTTGGAGCCCTTTTTCTAATATAGATGTTTAGTACTATACATTCAGCTAAGCACTGCTTCAGTGGTATCCTACTTATTCCGACATGATGCATTTTTATTTTCATTCAGTTCATATATTTTAATATTTCCATTTTGGTTTGTTATTTGACACATGGACTGTTTTTAAGTATGTTATGTAATACCCAAATAATTCAGGAATGTCCATATATCTTTCTGTTATTTATTTCTTATTTAATTTTACTTTCACCACAGAATATATCTTATATGGTATGAATCATGTTAAATAAATTAAGACCTGTTTTATTGTCCATAATATGGTCTATTTTGGTAAATGTTACATGTGAACTTGAGAATAATGTGAAATCTTATGTTGTTACAAGGAGTATTCTTGGTGTCAAGTAGATTAACTTGATTGATATAGTTGTTCAAGTCTTCTATATTCTTAGTAACTTTCTATTTCTTTTATCAGTTAATAAGGCTGAATGTTAAAATATCAGCACATATTTGAAGAATTGTCTAGTTCTTTTTTTCAGTTCTATCAGTTTTTATTTAATATATTTCTATTTCTTTATTGTGGCAGAAAACACATAAAATTTACCATCTTAACCATTTTCCAAGTGTACAGTTAAGTAATGTTAAGTATATTCTCATTGTAGTGAGACACATCTCCATACATTTTCATCTTGCAAATTTCAGTTTATACCTATTAAGCAGCTCCTCTTTCTACTCTGCCTACAGCCTCTGGTAACCACCATTCCACATTCTGTTTCTATAACTTGGACTTTTTTAATACTATGTACATTGGATCATACAATATTTGTCATCTTGTGACTAGCATATTTCACTTTACATAACGTCCCGATGGTTTCTCAATGTTGTAGCAAAGGATTTTTGTCCTTTTTAAGGCTGAATGATATTCTGCTTTATGTATCCATCACAGACTTTGTGGTTATTACACATCTTGGCTATTTCAAATAGTGCTGCTAAGAACATGAATGTAAAAATATCTCTTCAGGTCCCTGTTCTCAATCATTTTGGATAAGTACCCAAAGATGAGATTGCTGGATCATATGCTAGTTCTCTTTTTAATTATTTAAGGAAACTCCAGGCTGTTTTTCATGATGATTGCATCATTACACAATTCTGCCAGGAGTGCAAGAGAATTCCAATTTCTCCACATCCTCACCAAGATTCATTTTCTGTGATTTTTCTTGTGGTTGTTTGTTTGTTTT